CAAGTTAGTTGTAGCTGATAATAGTAATACTAGGGGTTTGTATTATCTAATAGTAGTGTATTATCTAGTAGGATGCAGTATATGCATCAGTTCTCTCTACGTTTAACTTAATTGCAATATATATGCTTATTTTTTGAACCAAAAAAAAAACATTTTTTTGCACGTTCATTATCTCAACTGTCTTTAGTCAAGAGTTGTGCTTATTTTAACCCAAATTTGGTATAGTATGAAATACGAAAGAGAAAAGTAAACATCAGGTCGTACTTCTTTCAGGCACAGGTCTTGCCTTTGACAATGGAGTTCCTAGACGAAGACGCCAGACCCAGATTCCTCCTCCAATCCAAGCCATTACAGCAATCCAATTCCGATCCGGAAACCCAAACCCGGTCTCTATATCGACCCGGAATCATCATCTCCATCTCCCTTTCCCTCCTCTTCTTCGCTCTCTCTTTCCTCTATTTCACCATTGAACCCTTCGGATCCCTTCTCATTTGGCTCTCTCTTTCCCTCCTTATCGGCCCTTTTGCCCCACTTTCCGTCACTGCCGGTGACATCCGGGTCGGACTTGGACCTCCCATCCAAGACCCGCCGAAAGACGATCTTTCTGATACCGAACCCGATGCCAAAAAAACCAACCGAAGATCCAACCGACCCACCAAGAAAGTCGTTGACTTTGAGCCCGTACTGCCGGAGAACATTAATGGGTCGGTGGCAAATTCGGAGAAAATTAATGGGTCGGTAGTAAATTCGGTTAAAATTAATGGATCGGTTGCGAATTCAGAGAAAATTAATGGGTCGAGCGAGTGGAGCGAAGGAGATGAGGAGTTGTTGAGGAAGATGATGGGGAAGCACCCGGTGGGGAAACCGGGGCGGTGGGAGGCGATAGCTGAGGGGTTAAATGGGAGATACAGAGTGGAAAATGTTATCAAGAAAGCTAAAGAATTAGGCGAGAAGAAAATGAGAGATGAGGATTCGTATCAGAGGTTCTTGAAGGATAGGAAAGCAGTGGATAAGAGAAGTGAGAGTGGAAATGAGGGTGATTCTGAGAATGTGGAGGTGAAGAAGGTGGTGGAGAGCGGGTGGACTAGTGGGGAGGATTTGGCTTTGCTTAATGCATTGAAGACATTTCCGAAGGAAGTGGCGATGAGGTGGGAGAAAATTGCAGCTGCTGTGCCTGGGAGGAGTAAAGCAGCTTGTATGAAAAGAATGACTGTGTTGAAGAAGGATTTTAGAAGTTCTAAGTCTGCTAATGCTGACACTTAGGGGGCATAAGAGCAGTTATTGATTTGAAAACCATTATAGGTCAATTTTCCGCTTTATTGCAGAGGTAACAAATTTTCGTATAAGGCTACTTACTTATTTGTTAAAGAATTAAGAGCACTACTTTTTGGCCTTGTTATTAGTTGAGGAAGCAATTGATACACAACCAGTTGTTCACTTAGAAAGTTACTGAGTTATATTGTTCTTTGTAATATGTAACTTGACAATCTTTTATATGAATAAATACATTACCACTCTGTGGCGATTGAGTTTACTGTGGATATGCTAACTTGCTAAGCATGGGGTTGTTCGTCCCAATTTTGAGTTGCAATTTACTGAGGATTACATCTTGACGTTTGATGTCAAATATTTGATCTTGGTACTGTGTGATGCTTGGAATCAAAATGCTTTGACGATTCAAACTGTTAGAGGTTACATTTTCACTCTTTTAGTTGATTTTCTTGCTAATTGCTAGAATAAGTTGCTTGTGCAACCATTATGTGGTATAGAATAGTCAGCTTGATGCAGAAAAGTAAATGTGATTTTAACTTTTCCGATTATGCTCCAGCCACAGGAATTTGAGGCAATAGAGAGACTGGAGCAGTTTGGTGAATTGATCAACTTGGCAATTAATTATTGCCAAGATTGACTTGATAACTAGAATGCATAGGCATTTTATCAAAAGTTAATAAGAATGATAGTCTGTAAGGAAATTTTAAGCTACTCGATTAGGCTAGCTATAGATCCTCTTGTTGAACTTTGTAACCAAGGATGTCAGTAATTCAGGTTTTATGAGTAACAACCTGAAGACCTTAGGTTTGAAACTTTGAATCCCAACGACAACACTCAGTGGAGCCGTCCACCCACCATAGTTAGGGAAAGTTGACCACAATGTGCTGGTTGGCTGCTGCAGGCTGTCCGATGAATTAATCGAGGTGTTTGCCCAGTAGTCCTAGTATTAGTCTAATTTTAGATGTTGGCACTGCATCCCTCAACCTAATTATGGCCAATGAGAAGCTGGCCATGCTTTTTCTTACCTGTGAACAAGGAAGAGAATGTTATACAAAACTGGTATGTACTTATGGCTAGGTTTATGAAGATGGAATCCAGCTAAGCTTAGTTAGTCATTTGCTTGTAGAGCCCTCCATCTCAATGCATCGCATTTGGAACTATTGAAACCCTAGGATCCTTCTTAAGCAGTAATGATGGAAGCTGGCACATTGGGAGGTTGATAGCAAAGGGGTTTAAGGGGAGACAGAGGGGAGATTGTGGTGAAGAAAGCAGAGGTGTGTAAGAAGATGAGCGTTGAAGATTTGAATCATAGGTCTTTTAAGGGATTGGAAGCTTGCAGATAAGAGAATCAACAGTGGAAATAAGGGTGATTTTGAGGAACTCATCTAAGTTGATGAAAAATGATTCCATAAGAACTAAGTGACAAGAAGTAAGCAATTAATGTTGCTTTAGGCTAGTTTTTAGGTTAGCTGGCGATCATCATGTCGAACCCTAGCATACCTGTTTTCAGTAAAAGGATAAACTAAAATCAAATGAAACTCTCATTGGCTGCTATCAAAATCCCCTCGTCGATGTTCTTTTTCCTCCCTCTTTTGACCCACCACCAGTGTCTTCACTTCTTCCTTGGCTTTTGTACTTTGCCTGCAACCAACATCCTAGCTCCTTGTTGTATCTGTAGTTCCTTTTGATACCTAGACCTACCACCCTTAACTTTTTTCTTTGTTGCTCGTTGGAAAGTAGGCACGATGAAAAGACATCTCATTTTGCTCTCTTTACTCGGTTTAATTTACAACATGAACACAGAAAAAGCGT